TAGTTGAGGTATTCTAAAAAAGATAATATTTATTTATTACAAATAACTAACTTAATAAACCTTCTTAATCTTTTTAAATGAGTCATTATATTCTTATATTAGCGATCAGGGCTACTACTTTATATAAATTATAAGATTCCTCTAATCCATTGGTGAGCTGCAAAGGAATCATGTTCTCTCTGTACTTAATGATGATACTTTGTTTTGTTCCCTTATTGTAAAACCCAACTATCTCCCCTCGCAATGCAGCGTTGTCACTTGCTCTTTTTTGGATTTTCTTTATTCACGGAAACTTTCCTTATCCAATATTATTTAATATTATTAGAAAGTGAGTTCCTGGTTAATCTCATGCTTAACTTATATTCCATTCAGAGTCTTAGAGTTTTTTTAATTTAGTACTGTAAAATATTTTCTTAGTAGCACTTAGTATCATAAAGTAATTATTGATAAATTTTATATCCTAATATATTTTTCAGTAATACCTAGGATTTAAAGTTTATGATGCTCGTTATTGCTGAGAAAATATTGCAAGAGTAAAATTGTACAAAAATTTATTTTACAATACTAGATGTAATTGAGGAAATATTTCAGGATTATTACAACAATTCTTAATATTACTCAAATGTCACCAGAGATATTAATATTATTCATAAATATAAATTACTAACATTATTTAAAAAAATGAGGGAGGACCCTCAATTTAGTGTACTTAGCCGTTATTAAAACCATGGTATTCTTTCTATCATAAATATAAAACCGATTTTATAATATAAATTATATTATAAAATGAATATTATATTTAGAACCAGAAAAGTATGATTAACTTGCCATTCTCATAAAATAAATATTGTATGACTTTAAAATCACAATCAAAAGTAAAATTATAAACGAAAAAATCTCACAAAATGAACCTGAAAAATATTAAACTACAAATCAGTCTTTTTTTTTTTTTTTTAATAGGTTTTTATTATAAATGAAAAATTATAAGAAAATAACAATACATTTTTATGGGCTTTTTTTTAGGGATTTAGTATTAATTAAATAACTAGTTTCATTAATTAATGTAAAGTTGTTATTGGGTGCTTATAATAAAGATGAGAGGGAGTATTATTTAATTAGCAACGAATTTTGCTCAAAACCAACTTTATGTGGGTAAGTAATAGTGATGTGGGAGAAAATGCCAATAAATGACAAAATTAAAATGAAAGTGAATATCATAAGAGACGATAATACCGGTACGATGTCACGTCATCCATGTTACGCCATGTGACATTGGTGTGTTTGGTGGCACGTTCATGTTCGTTACCAAATGAACTAGATTAGCAACCAGGTGTCGTGTTTCTATTATTTCATACAATTTCTCCCACGCAATCGTTATTTATTTTGTTGCCCTTCGGTGTCCTGTGAAATAGGGAAATATAGAGAAAATGTGTGAATAATCATTATCAATATATACACACAAAAATGAATCATTTCTGCTGTGGTGAACAAAACAAACCTATTAATTAGTTTTTACATTTAGAATTGGCAAGTAATAGTAAAATTTGATTTTTTTTTTGTTGGAAACAAATAAAAGCAAGTCCAATTGAGAGTCGGCAAGCTTTTGTAGCGGACCAAATGAAAATTAAGGGGCTATGTTTATTTTCATCCACTCGATCAAACTTTATGATATTTGATGTTGTTCCCAAAATAAGAGTTAAGTACTTAATTTATGAATATTAAAAATTTATTAAGTCCGTTATTTTATAATAAATATTTTAAATTGTGTAAATATCCCTTAGACCAAAATAAATCTAGGAAAAATCTCAAAAAAAGACTATTGACTTTTAAAATTTTAAATTAAGAATTATTATAAAAATATGTTGTCGTTTGCTTTTGTGTGTAGTTATTTTTTTTAGGATTAATTAATCTGCAAGTCCTTATAGTTTCAATCAATTTTGAATCAGGTCCTTATAATTTTTTTTCTTTTTATCAGGTCCTTATACTTTCACCTGTTTTTAATTAGATCTTTACATTTATTTTTCTTTTTATCAAGTCCTTATAATTTTACTAAAATTTTAATCAAGTCCATATAGTTTTAATTTTTATTTATTAATTAAATATAAAATTAATTAAATAGATTAGTAATAAAATTTAAAATATTAGTAATTAAATTAAATTAATAATTATTTAATAAAATAAGTAATATAATTAATTAATTCAGGAAATTTTTTTAGAACAATTAATATTCTTTTGCTAGAAAAAATAAAATTATTATAATAATTCATGGAAAATTAGTAAAAAAATCCCTGTCTGAAATTTTAATTGGCCAGAAGGACTTGATTTGTGCAAGTGCAAGTATGATCCGTGAGTGCAACAAATCAGGTCCTTCTGGCCAATTAAAATTTCAAACATGGATTTTTTTTACCAATTTTCTCATAATTCATTGTTTTTATAATATTATTGTTTATAAAATAATAGTAAATAATATATACTATTTTATGTTTATAGAATAGTACTATTAGAAGTTATAAAATAAAGAATAAAAAATTCAGGGACTTAATTAAAAATAAGATGAACTTATAAGGACTTGATAAAAAGAAAAATAAATACAAGAACCGAATTAAAAACAAGTGAAAGTATAAGGACCTGATAAAAAGGAAAAAAGCTATAGGGACTTGATTCAAAATTGGTTGAAATTATAAGGACTTGCGGATTAATTAACCCTTTTTTTTATGAGTGTAGTAACTAATATTGATTTACAATTTTGAAATTCAACAGTTATTTTTTTTTTAAAGTTTCCCATAAATCTAAAAGTTAGTTTATATATTTTGGGTAGGAGATAAAAGTAATTTTATTCGAGATATTGTTGGATACTAAATGTTAGCACCTCTCCTAACAAGGATTTAAATCTTAATTTATCACATTATAAAAGATGAACTCTTTTTATTAAATCCAATCTCGTTAGTGGTTTGAGAAGAAAATGGAGCAGATAATAAGGAGAACGCCTGCACCACACAAAGCGGCTGCTGCGGGTATTTGTATGGTTTGCCCCAGCACTTCAATTGCCACCTTTGCTTTCTCATCTTTCTCTTTTCCCCTGACAGGCCCACTGCTTCCCTCCTCTGTTTTTCATTTCCTTGGAATATCAGTTTAGGATCATACTAGTGATTCATCATTATTCTTCAATAATTATGCTTTGAATATAATTAAGGAAATGAACGATCATCAAATTTCTCTTTTATTATAAGAGACCACAAACTGATCATAATGGCCACAACACGCATTGCAGTTCGCCATCAAATGGTTCATATTATTACTCTCTCTAAACTGTAACTCATCACTGTAGAGAGTCGGAGCCCAAACTTCCTTATTATTCTAACGTTGAAAGCCCATAAACTTGGGAAATATTGGGCCCACACAGAATGAGGACCATATTATTTCACCCATTCCTCATCCAACCGTATTATCAAGCCCATAAAATGATCCATATAATGCAGAGGATTTCAAATGAGAAGTCGCTGACTTCAGAATAAACTGAAATAACAAATAATTAAGGGAAAATAACAAATAAAAACTCTCGTAATATGTGAAATTGTGATTTGGGACTCTCAATTTGAAAAATGAAAAATAAAGACTCGGTCTCATATTACAAATATGAAATCTTGATGAAATGTCTGAAATGTTCCTCAGCCAAGTTATGATTTGATTTACTAAAGTTATCATTCGCTAAAGTAAACTTGTCATTTAGCATACCCTCAGTCAAGTTGTGATTCAGTCTGCTGAAATTGTTATTTGTTAAAGTGAACTTGTCCTTTCTTATAGCCAACTTGTTATTTTACCGAGAAATATTTTAGACATTTTACCAAGATTTCATATTTACAATATAGGACTGGATCTTTATTTATTATTTTTCAAATTGAGAGTTCCAAATCACAATTTCACATGTTAAGGGTCTTTATTTGCTACTTTTCCAATAATTAAGTAGTTAATATTGGAATTAAGAACATTCCAAGAAAACGGCAAGCGCTAGAACCTTCGTGCATGCCTTAATTCATAAATTAAATTAAAAGTTTTCTGTTCCCAAAATGTGACTTTTCTTTGAAGCTCAGAAGTCAGCTTCTGGGCAACTTCAGCTAATGCCCGTTCATAGCGCTGGCCAGTAACCTGTCATTTCTCAACTTTCAAAAATCCAACGACTCAATTACTCATACCACACACATGAATTAAAAAATCCCATTCGATCATTTTTATTTGTATTTTTTTTTTACTATTAACTTCAAATCTAAGTTGGACCTTTCTAAGAGCTGTCGGTGAGCAATTAAGAATACTTTATATATATATATATATATCCTCACAAGTTAAAATTCTCCTTGAAAAATATAAATTCGGACAAAATTTAGAATACTCTTGATCACGATGCTAAATATGAAATATATTATTCCTGACTTAAACGCCAAGAATATATTCTTGTAGATACTTCCATTTTAGGGTTGCTTGGTTCCATTTTCCAGTTGTAATATCGATCATTTTCAACGTTGAATCATTCTTCGGCAACTACGACATAAATATATCATAAAACAGTTTCATCTTCCTCTCCGAAGATTTCTAGAAAGGACGAAGCTAGCTGCTTGGACAAGAAAGATGGCCTGGACGTGTCGATTAGTAAATATGAATAGAATATTTTACAAAACAAACGATGGAAGCACCACTTTGTTGAAAACTTCAGAGTCCATAAATACCAAAAAACGTCCTACTTAGACGTCCATCATCAAACACCCGTATCATCCAAGAAAGTAAACGAATCAACCCTACACAAGAAAAGGACCTTGTTAATTATTTCTATATGTATATTTATAGGAATCCGAGTAAAATGTGGTTAGAGTGTGAGTCTTCCAAACGCGTCTCCAAAAATATATTTAAAAGGGACAAGACGTGTTTTTTAACTACATATATAGAGACCTTTTGCGCCGTTTCCATTTCGTCCTTCTTCACACGATCTCTCTCTTTCTCTCTCGATTCCATCCTTCATATTATACTCTGAAACTTGTTTGCACATAGAACAATGGCTTCTTCAATTAGATCGTGTTTGGTTCTTTTCCTCTCCTCCCTTTTCATTCATGCATCTCTAGGTAATTGAGCCCTACTTCTCTTTCACTTTTTGCTTCCCATTCAGTTTTACTATTTCAGTTCTCACTATAGATGTACATGAAAGTAAGATAGATTTAAACTAAGATGATAAAACTGTGGTGGATGGAGAATAACTAGGGTTTTGGAACAGGTGAGATAGTGTGCGAGGAGCTAGGAAAGGAGGTGTGCGCGTTCTCGATAGCATCGTCGGGGAAGAGATGTGTGTTGGAGACGGAGAGGCAGGAGGAAACAGGGAGGGTGGAATACCAATGCCGGACGTCGGAAGTGGTGGTGGAGCACATGTCAGAGTACATAGAGAGGGATCAATGTGTGAAGGCTTGTGGTGTTGATCGCCGATCTGTGGGTATTTCATCTGACGCTTTGCTTGACCCACGTTTCACCGCCAAGCTCTGTGCTTCTCCTTGCTCCGACCACTGCCCCAACATTGTCGATCTTTACTTCAACTTGGCTGCCGGCGAAGGTATCATTAATTCCTCTCTTTTCGCAGTTCTGACGTCTTTCATTTTATCTAGAAGCTAATCGAAACCTTAGGTCTTGATTGATTGATAATCTCATAATAACAATGCTAACAATGATCATGGTCTCCGTTTAATTTCTTTGGTTGTTTAGTTGGTTGAGAACTTGTTAGTGATGTTGCATCTGATGAACTTTTCCAGCCACTTATTATTTCCATTTGGCAATAATAAATCCACGTTGAATTCTCTTTTCACTAAGATGTTCTCGTGTCAACATTAATCCTAACTATAAAATCTTAATCATTTTATTTTTAATATTTATTAGTTTCTTCTCAAATGAATTTATTTTACTTAAAAAATGATATATAATTAGGAAAATCATGTCAATTTTATTAGAATTAAGTAATTTGTATAGCTTCTTGAATCCCTTCAAATTAATTAAGTAGCTTTCAGGTTAAGAATTGTGGAGGACACCACCTATAAAGAAAAAGAAAAAGTCATCAGGATACATGCATGATGACCTTTTCTTCAATATGTGGCAATTCTTATTCCTGACCTGGTCAAGCTAGGTCGCTAGATATCTTAACCGGGGACACATGTTTTTGAGCTTGAAATCCAATTAAGGTATATGTGTGAGTGTATATGGAAGTAATAAGAGGAATTATTGTTTAAATATAATACAATATTGCAGGAGTATATTTGCCAGATCTGTGCGAGAAACAGAAGACCAATCCTCGTCGTGCCATGGTGGAGCTGATGAGCTCTGGAGCTGCCCCTGGTCCTGTTTCTGACGTTTCATCAGCTGATTTAAAGGCAGCACCTGCTCCTTCTCCCTTCTAAACGCCGCCGTTTTCATTCTTCTCAATCCTTCAACTTCCTTTTGCAGAAATGGTGTAAATGAGATGACCCAATAATAATATATATAATACCACCATATTATAATTAGAATTAATATATACTACATATATAGAGAGAGAGATACAGGCCATATGGGTTTTGGCTTGGGTTTTAATTTGAGAATATTTGTTTATTGTCGAACAAGAGGACGGATTTTTCTCTTTTTTTAAAAAATATTGGAGAGTATTGAGTTGGACATTGTGATGATGAATTATATTATATTACATCCTATATTGTGTTATTTGCTATATCTTCCAATTCTGGAACTTTCGTAAATAATTATTTGTTCCTTGTCACATTCCGTTTATTTATATATATGAGTTCATTGTTATATGAAAGAATTACTGGGAATTATTGGTCAAATAGTCATTTATATTTATATATTTATGGAACATTTGCCAAAAAAAATCATTATTCTTTAAATCATGAATAATATGAATACCTATATGAATACCTACACGTACATAGCTTCTGTGCTTACTCTATCGGCCGTGTGTATATTTTGTAAATTTAAATTTGAATTTGTCTTAATATTTAATATATTTTTTAATTTTATTTATAATTATTTATTCTCTCTCATTTATCATACTTTCTCTCATCATATTTCTCCATATATTTTTTAATCATTTTTCTCATTTATTAAAAGGGCATATTTAAAAAAAAATTATATCTTTAACCTATTTATTTTTTTAATTAATTTTAACTTTTTTATCTGTAAATTAATTATTTAAAACTTATAATAAGGATTGATAAGAGTATAATATAAAATTTGTTAAAAGTCACACTATTTATAATTCATGATTCTACACTCCAAAATACTACTGCCTCTAGTCTTTAATATAAGAGTTAGTTAACGAATTTGAATAAATTAAAAATTAGTTAAGTTAGTTATTTGTAACAAATGAGTGTTATCGTCTTTAAAATATCTTGCTAATCATGTATATTAGCTAGAATTATTATTTGATAAAATCTTTAACATATACGACTACTACAAGGACTATTTTAAGAAAATAAATAAATAAATATGATAGACAAAATAGATTGGAGTCTTACATTTATGATCAAATTGAATGTCAAACTAATTTTTATATTAAGGATTGGAGGTAACATATTCAAATTCTTGCTTTCTGAAATATTAATGAGATAAATGATAAAAAAAAAAAAAAGGTGCTATTTTGTGTTAAAAACAATAAAAGAATGAGTGGAAGAAAAATAAATAAATTTAACATACGTTTTTTGGAATATCTTTCTTTGCCATTTGCCAATAACCTTTTAAAAAATATGTATAAAAAATATTTTTAAAATTTCAAAATTTCAAAATAAGAATAAATATAAAAATGTGTTGTTATTTTCTTTTCAAATGTTGTCAACTATAATTGACCTATAGTAAAATAATACTGATTTAGAATTTTGAAATTAAAAAGTATGTGTTTGGAACTCTCCCTACAAAAAATTATTGTAAAAACTCCTAGATAATTTTTACACTATTTTTCTTTTGCCATACACTAAAGTTATCCTTTTCATATTGAAAAGAATTTCTCAATAATCCAAATTGACGTGTGCATAATTAATTTTCATAAGAAAACAATATACTCCTCTGATCCTTAATATATGACCTAACTGTGGAATTGATTTTGGTTCTAAATATAATATCTATTTCTTATATCTATTAATTTTTTTAAATCACCCCTATTGATACTCCCTCAACCATAATCAAGTATCAAAGAGAGAGAAGATATAATGAAGGTGATTAAGGTGTTTTAGGAAAAACATGTCATATTTATTATAGTTAACTAACTTACCTAACTTTCTTTAATCAAATTAGTTAAATCGGTCTTATATTAAGGACAGGAGGAGTATTTATTATGTGTCATAAAAGCTAAGCAAAAATTTAAAACTATCACGTAATTTATTTACACATGAAAGTACTAATCTCGCCTATTAATATATATTCCAGTTGTGTGAGAGCAGTTAAATCAATTTAAATTAAATAGTTTAGTTTTACTATACAAGGATATATCTTTTTTTAACTAAAACTATATAAATATAAAAACACAGATAATGAAATTAATAATAAAAACCTTTTGATCCATAATTAATGAGAATTTGTGGGTTTATATTTTTGTATAATATATAAAGTTTATATGAATTAGCATTCAGTCATAAATAATACTCTTCCTGTCCTTAATGTAAGATCTATGTAAATAATTTGATTAGATTAAAAAGGTTAAGTAAATTAATTAATTATAAAAATATGATATTTTTTTTCTAAAACATTATAATCATTTTTCTTGATATCTTCCCTCTATCTCTTACTTGATTATGATTAGCAGAGTATCAATCGGAGTAATATAAAAAAATTGATAAAAATGATAAATATGTTCTACATTTAAAATCAAGATCAATTCAATAATTAGGTCATCCACAAAAAAAAAGGTGAGTATAACTTATTTTGTAAAGTCATAATTTGCAATGCACTTTGTTTGATATAATACATTAATCAATGCATTTGATTCGCAAGGAAGAAAAAAAATTCATTGATTCAATATATATAATTGCTGGTAAAAAGAATTCAAATATATATATATATATATATATATATATATATATATATATATATATATATATATATATAACCAAATGAAACTGAAATTCCTGGCAAAAAATTAAAAGGGAGGGAAACTGTAATTCACCGCCGTAGAAACTAGAAAAGGCAAAGGTGAGCAAAGTGAATTCCGGGCATTGCCCTACTCCGTCTCCCCTGTTCTCTTTACTCTTTTGGTTGTGCACTTGTGCTCCATTTCAGCTCGGCTCTATTGTGCGGGGCAGGGAGTGTTAGATGGAAGTGGATGAAAAACCCATCGTTGAGCTCGACAAACCACCCGCCGGAGACGTTGGCAGCGGCGGAGACGGCGGTAGTGGTGACGAGGGTTTAATAGCGTTAGGTGATGGAGGTGGGAGTAGCTCCCAGACCGCTAAAGACAGAGTGAAGGGTCCTTGGTCTCCAGAGGAGGACGCGATACTGGGTCGACTTGTTAGCAAGTTCGGGGCCCGGAATTGGAGCCTAATTGCTCGCGGGATCGCTGGAAGATCCGGCAAGTCTTGTCGCCTCCGGTGGTGCAACCAACTCGACCCAGCTGTGAAGCGCAAGCCCTTTACTGGTATGGTTCCCTTTCTTTATTCGATGATTTTTTCCACATTCGTATTTACATTTCCATTTGTAGTACTAGTAAGTTAATTTGATTGAGTTTTGGGATTTAAGTGTAAACGATTTTGAAAAGATGAGCTTCTGGAGTATGGATTATGCAATGTAAAGTTTTAGGTCCAGTTAGAATAAGATCAACCCAATCCCCCCCCCCCCCCAATACCACCTCAAACAGAAATGCTAGCATAAGTAATGGTCAGAACCAATTCAGCTCCGAAGGCTAAGCTGTCAAGTGAATGTGGATCAATAATTCTTACCATAATCTCTATGATCTCTCGTAATAAAAGAGTTCTTTTGCTTAGATACGTGGATAAAGGCACGGGTCCATTATACTTTGCACTGAAGCTTAAATTTAACTAATAATGAAGAGCGATAAGGATTGAACTCTTGATCATTTGATTAGAGAGACTTTGATGTCATTTCAAAGACCAGTTTTCCTCAATCACAAGCTTGTGAGTTGAAAGTTGAAACGGTATTTGACGATTTGCTTGTTGGTCCTGAGCTATCAACATAATGTTGTGTGACATTATGCCTCAGTTAATTGTCATCAATCCGGATCGTAGAAAAATGGACATTTTGGGTCATTAAGGTTTACTTGCACCTATACTACTAATACTAGACTTGTATGCTTTGTTCATTAATAGCCCTGGCCTTCAAGCTAGCTGTTAGTTTATTGAGTTTCAGGCTATTAGTTTCCTCATGATGGTAATTAAGAGGTCTATTCTGAATCCTGAATGATATATTTTATTGTGATGATAAGTTGATTCTTGAAGGACTCTAATGACTGCACTACTCTAGTTATGTGGACCGTTTGGTCTGGGTGACTTTTATTTCGAAATTATTACAAATTATGTTGTTTAGAGGAGGACAAACATGTACAGACATTTATGGTATAATATCTAGGTTTGGCATGTTCCAAAATGCCAAAACTGGCCCTTCGATAGGTCTCCTACTGTATGGGAAGTGGGCTTTACATCTAGTCTGCTTACTAGAATTTTTTTAAGTATCATTGATGCGTCTAAGCTAAGGCTTTGGCTAACGGCTTTGTGTTGATCTGTGGGCAATCTTAAAAGTAACAACCCTTGAAATCATCCTGGCAGATTTTTAAGTTTTACTTCCGAAGTGTTCCCTAAGAGACACTCTGGAAGTAAAGCCTAAAATCAACCTGGATGATTTCAAGGTTTGTGCCCCAAAAGAATCTAATCTAGGTTGATAAGAATAAACGCTGTCTCTTACCAGTTAGCTAATCCCATTGGGTTTAGGTTGCTTATTAGATGTTTGATTGAAAGATAAGCAATTTTGCTTTTCTTTTCTTAAAAAAAAATTTAAAAGGGCAGGAAGTAACTGATAGAAGCACAAATGTAAGGCTAGAGAGGCCTTTGGTTGTCAGATCATTGAAGGGTCATAACTCTTGATCTGGGAGAAGTTTGGTCTTATCTTATACTATTTTGGATAGCTTGTTTTGAGCTTGTTGCGGACACCAGACCATTGAAAGGCCTGTTGTTTTGAGCTTGTTGACATGTCTAGGGTTCTTCAAGCTGAGGTTGTTTTGAAGATTAAATCCTTCATTTTCACAAGTTTGAGCCATTTCGGTTAATTTTCTATTTTGTGCCATTTCTATCCTGTTTTATGGCGTTATTTATTTCCTTTTGTTTAGAAGCTGACTGGAAATTATTTCTCTATTTAGTACAGTTGAATAGGGTTTTCTAGCTTCCATGTTAATTACTAATGCAGTGATTTGTGGATTGTCCATCAGTAAACAAATTTTTTCATCTACTATTTTCAGATGAGGAGGACCGGATCATAGTTGCAGCACATGCAATCCATGGGAATAAATGGGCAGCCATAGCCAGACTTCTACCAGGAAGAACAGATAATGCCATTAAGAATCATTGGAATTCTACTTTGAGGCGTCGGGGAATAGAACTTGATAAAGTTAAATTAGAACCTTGCAACACGACAGAAGATGTTAGCTTGGAGAAAGCAAAAGCATCATCTGAAGAAACTCAGTCATGTGGGGATGTTAATTCCTTGAGATCTTCAGAAGGAAGAGATGTCAGTTCTGTGGAGAATATGGAGGATAAATATGAAAACAAAGCACAGACAGAGAGTCAAATGAAGCATGAAGTCAAGGATCCGCCCACTCTTTTCCGACCTCTAGCACGTATTAGTGCTTTTAGTGTATATAACTCATTGGATGGTTCACAACCTGCTATGTCAACCCCTAGGCCAGTTCCAATGCAAGGGCCTCTTTTTCAAGCATCAAAGCCGGGGATTGAAATTTGTAAAATGCTTGATGGAATTTATGGCTGTGACCTATCTGTTCCTAACCACTGTGGCCATGGTTGTTGCACTGATCTAGGTGGCGAAAATGCCAAAAGCTCCTTGTTGGGGCCAGAATTTATTGAATATTCAGAGCCCCCGGCATTCCCAAGTTTTGAGTTGGCAGCCATAGCTACAGACATCAGCAACCTTGCTTGGCTGAAAAGTGGATTGGAGAATAGTAGTGTCAAAATGATGGGTGACTCGGCCGGCAGGGTTACATCTCATGGATCCCAAGTGAATATTGGCCATTAAAATGCCAAGAATAAGATTAGTTCTATTGAGTGACAGGGCCGTAGCTATGTGAAGGATTGTAATGGAAATGGAATTGATGGGTAAAATTTAGTAAGATACAAGTCTCATAATTCCAGGTATCACTCAATTTGTTTCTGGGTGATGACTGATCAGCACTTGATACTCTGGTGGAAACCAGGAATGGATTGCATATATGTCTTTTAATGGCAAAGGGGAATATCTCCAGCTGCTTTGCTTGTTTCTATTGCGGTATTTTGCATTCTCTTCCCTCGTCAAATCCACCGTCCCTGAGGCATTGGATTGATTGAGGTGTTATCCAAAGTTGGATTTTTTTTTTTTTTGGTTGCCTGGGGATGGGAGGTTTGAAGCCAAAATGGCGCCGAAGAGTATCATTTTTCTGATTTTCATGGTGCATGGGCGAGGCATGATGCTTACATGAGGTTCAGGTAGACAAGAATTCACTTCTCATGTCTCATTTATGAAAACCACCTCCAGTCCTTCAGAATCGCCCCCACATGACGAAGGAATCATATGCGTAAACTAAAACCCAAGCTAATGTTATTAAAACGCAACGTTCAGCGGCATCTGGTCTGAGATCGCTATATCAATGTGTTGGTATAACGATACGACGCACCCTCAGCTTGCGATACGAGGCAAACACTATCAACCGTATGTGTTGTGCCATATCATGATACCACCACCATGTTTCAGTTTCTTTATTTCTTGTTATCAAATTTGGACTAATTTTTTAATTGATTCTTCTTCCATGCTTCCCTTGAAATTAATATATATTCAAAGTGAGTTCACAACGATAAATCCATCTCAAATTACGGTTCAGCAATTTAGATCACAAAAAAATATCAAGGCATGTTTTACCTGAAATATCTTTCATAAATCCATTAAAATATTTACAATAATGATTAAAACTTCAAGTGACATGGAAAATGTGGTAAATAACCTAAAAATATAGAAATCAAGTGCCTATTAATCAACACTTGCAGCAACTCCGACCAGTTGACCTCGGCACTCGGGGTTCAACTTCTTAAATTTAATGGACAGATTCTCCAACTATTTCTCTACAATACAAGCCCGCCCCCACCACCGGTGCAAAAAATAGTACGCGCACCCTGTAGAAGTTTCCATTCAAAATAGCATGTCCAACTAATACCTGCCAGGTTGCTAAGGTCATTCAAAATTGAAGCTTCCATTCACCAGGAGTCTCAGTCCGTCATCAATTAGCTATCAGTTTCAGCTCCTTCAACAATTAAATCTACTTGTTCTCTGCTTTGAACTTCGGCCTTTTCTTTCGGACAAAAAAGCACTTCCTTTTTCGTTTTTGACGTTTTGAAACTACTTCTTCTGGTGCGGAACACACTTCTTCCTGTGGCCTGTACAAACAAATCAGTGCATGAACATCAAGATCCACATATGCAATGTAGGAGAAAATTATAAGAGAACAGATGAACATGCATTATGGATGTTCACAGGTGCAAGCATTTCCCCACAATTTACACCAGTAACAGCCGAGCATATCTACATTTAACAGCATACAAAAGGAGAAAAGGGGTAAAAGAAGCTAAAGTTACTTGAATCTGCTATCAAGTTTTTTAAATAAAATAACATGTAGCAGACCTTCTCAAGAGCATACAACGACGAGCTTTATTTGATCGTACAACGCCATTGTGCTCTAGCAACAACTAAGTTTTTAGATATGTTGTTGACCAGAAAGTTTTGTGCAATGACCTCATTAAGTGTTCTTAAGATAATCTATAACATAATTCCAGCTACAAGAAAAATTGAAAAAAGGAATTCAGTTTTTTCACTAAAAAAAAGTCAGTTTTAATGGAATTCAGTTTTTTCATCTTGAAAAAAAGTTAAGTTTAAGGCTTAACTGAAAAATGCTAGTCAGGACTAGAACAGGCAAGCAAGGGTAAGTTAAAACCATATGAGGAAATTAAAAAAAAAAAAAAAGACGTCAGTCAAAGCTCAAGCAAAATATGCATACCCTCTAACAATATGTTGTGGATCAACGCCAATATTTTTACTCAGATCTTCAACACATATGACCCCTTCGTGATCACATCTCAATAGGTTGCACGCACTTGACAAAGCCGCAGGCTTCACTGCATCTAGAGTAAGTGATGGATCTTTCACTTTTTCTTTGAAATATTCAAACAAAATGAATGCTGCATAAATCCTCATAGGAGGTCAGACATGCATTATTCATCATGTGTAAATGTATTTAAATAACCAATGAAGCAATTAGGTACCAGCGCAATATGTAAACTAATTTTCATTGCATACGGAAGTAAGAATTTGACGCACTCACCGTATACATGGAAAACACCTGCTCCAACTTAGACAATAATAAACTCACCATAGCATATCGATACATCAACTTGACAAAATCGAGGAGGGATAGAGTAATTCAAAAGAAGACTAGAAATTTAAACTTACAAAAGGTGCATATAGAACATAAAAATGAAGGCATACCAATGGCACGAAGCACTTTAAGGTCAAATTTCTCAGCTAGTTCCTCATAACCTATCATCTTAGCACGGTGACGGACATACAACTTCAAATTTATCAGCATATCCTGACATTTATAAATTCCAAATGTCATAACAGACTCAAATGAAATAATAAAAAACTGCAAGTGATGGCAGATGACAGTAGAAGAGCATCTTTTTATTGTAAACCTCAGGTCTCACTCGCGATTGCAAAGAGCATGCATCAGAAATTAAAATATCACCAATTCACCATAATAAAAGTAAGTTTCTAGTATCTCCTCCTAAATTGGTTGAATTAGTTAAAATTGTTCATTGGATGTTGAGCTAAATAAATCTACCCCTGTTGGCCCAATATTCCCCAAACGATCAAACCATGGCAAACACTGGTTATCATGCAAAGACATATAGACATCTCAGACATTGATATGTATACATGCAACAGCAGGCACATAAGAGAACAAAATGATTTTATGACTACTCATATATATCAAAATACGACCTGGTCAGTTGGCAGTGAAAAGAATTTTTTATCATCCATCTAGTTCCCTACCACTGCCCTACTACTGATCTTTGAAGTGATATGAAAGCGAAATCATATGATGAGCAGCATGAATTTTTATCAGCCATCTAATGCCCTACTACTGATTTGAAGTGATACAGAAGTGACTGAAAACAAAATCCAGACAAGAGGACTGGTGAATAAAGATACGATTACAAATGATGTGGTCAACTCAAGTGACAAAAAACTTACAATCTCAGACGTTGAAAGGGAGCATAGCCAGGACACATCTTCAGGCCTGTCCTTAATAAAACACTTATCCATCTTAGCCGCAGCCATCAATATAGGAAATCCTATCTAGAGCAGCAAAGGGACTACAAATCAAATCTAGACAGCAAGATCCCAAGTCCTGTTAAGAAGTCGTTAAACATATTTTAGTACTTGATTTAAAAACCCAAACCAAAAATTTGTAAAACTCAAATGTGTAAAAGACCATCACTACCATCACTGCTATCAAATGTTACATATGCAACCACTAGGGAGCAAGTACAGCATCAAATCCGAATGGAAATTTCTAGTTAGAGAAGAAGCAGAAATAGCTAGGAATACGGGCCAGCGGGCCACCACAACCCGCGGGTTATGCGGTGCGGGTTGGAGCAGCCCGCCATCTTTTTTTTTTTTTTAATTCTCAATTTTCAAATCTTATTTTTATTTATTTTTTAAAATAATAAATGGTGATCTAAAAGTTTAAAAGCAATCACAAGTATAAATGATGTTTAACCACATTTAAAATAGTCAATACAAATATAAAATAATACATTATAAATATTTTACATGATTAACATTCAACATCAACTCATCAAGTGATAAATCTTATAATTTTTTCCATACAAACGCCATGTTTGATACAAAACACTATCTCTTAATAAATTTGAAGTGCATTTGTCTATTTTTTTTAAAAGTTCATTTACCATGTTTTTTTAAAACACTTTTTTCCCGTAATAAATATTGTCTTATGTTTGATTGTAGTTATTAAAGTTTTGCTTTAAATATAGTATGCTTATTTTTAAAAATATTTTTTGTTTATATAGTATTATATGAAAAATTAAAAAAAAAAATTTCAATATAATAACATGAAAATTAAAATGTAAATAAGAGAAAAAATTTTCAAATATAATAACATATTACTTATATGAAAAATTAAAAAAATAAAAAAAAAAAAAGTGGCAGGTTAGGCGGGCCAACCCACCAACCCGCGGGTAGCCCGCCACAGCCCGCGGGTTATGCGTGCAGGCTAGAGCAGCCCACACCTTAGCAGGCTAGCAAAATGCCAACCCTAACCCACTCTTTTATGGCGGGTTGGCGGGCTGGTCCACGGGTCCCAACCCATATTCCCGGTTTCGGCATCCCATTCCCAAATTGAAATTAAATAATCAACAGTGAAGTTTTAATTCATTAGTGCTGAAAGCAATGAGCTTAGGTCATGTCAACAACCATTAATCCAAAATTGAATCACAGAGGTGAATGAGATTCACATTCAACTCAATTCAATAACAAAATAGCAGATAAATGTGCCCAAGAACAAAACCAACTCAGAGTCACGCCCTACCTCAATTTGATCCTGACTTCCTAAAGACTCTTTTTTTTTTTTTTTTTTTTTGGTTGTCGCCTGAAACTTCCTACAGATTTAAAGCAACACCGGAAACCATTGAGATGCAAGTCAGACTCAATCTCCCATGCTTCAATCAAGGCTAGATATTCAAGACCAAGAGTACGACAAACATAAACACGGGGTAGTAAAAACCTTCTGCCTCACTCTATTTCTGCCACTCTATACGGAGGCCTCCGTACTTGGAAAAATCCTCACTCATGTCTCTCTCTACCACTAAACTTTTACAGCCCAGTGGAATGTGCTCCAGACTTTTTTCAGAAAAATATCACACACACACACACACACAGATAGAGAGAGAACCCACAGTCACTATATATGAAGGCAAAAGTTAGAACTACTTTCTGTTCAAGATAGAAAAATCCATGGTTTCACTTACGCTATGTTCAGTTAAACCCCCCGCCCCCCCGGGGGGGGTGTTGTTTAAAGAATGGAGGCAGGGAGCAATTTAAATGTTGTCTCATTGGAGAGCAGAGGGAAAATGATAATTCATGGACAATTACATGCCCTTATCCATCTTTTTGCCTTTTTGCCCCTTTTGTATGAGTTTATTAAAAACTTATATTCACCTTGAAAATAAGAACACGCCAATTTATAATCAACTGATTATTTATCAAATTAAATAATGATCGGAATTGAAGCTCAAAGCAAGTCAGAAAATGCCGAATGGTCCATCATGATTCCTGAAAGGTTGAATACCATAAGCTGACCTTACACTCATTGGGGGCATCTGCACCGGGTGAAATCTTGGAAATAAGCATAGTTGATATCATGCACTTTTAATTTTTGATCCGTATACCTTAACGAAGATGTCTTAATATGCCAATTGATCTAGGCAACTCATCCAAGACTCTGAATAATGACAATGACGACACTCTTGCAAGTCATGATCTTCCAATTAATTAAAACAAAAAAATTTAGAACAAAACCAGAAGCGCTGCGACGGCCTCCAACGCAGGGTCAACAACCGCGCGGGGAACATACCGGGGAACAAACCGACTGAACAACCTCAAGGGATTTTGGTAGAAGACAGAGAGCTAGGGTTTGTACCTTCAATACTCGCAGGAGAACAACCATGCAGGGCCGACAATGGCGGGTGGCCAGCTCGACCAGGTGTAGGCCGCTTGTTCGTCGATGAAGAATAAGTGTGGCTCCGCGTCCTACCAGACGAGCGCAAGTCTTGTGGAATAAGGGAGTTGTCGGGTTTTCCTCCCGGGGGGCTCAGCTTCTCTCCGCCGGCATATCATCAGCAAAATTCTATTTTCATCTAAAAAAAATTATTTGTTTTGTTTATCCCTGTTTTACCTAATAAAATTCTCTGTTAAAAAAAAGCCATATAAACTAAGTAATGAATCCCATTAAATAAAATTTTTTGAAAATACTTAGATATTATGTCAAGTTTTCTAATCACATATAATTATACTTCTTATTTTTGAAATATTAATTGTATTATAAATCTACATAAAACCAAAAAAAAAAAAACAAATGATCGTATATGATTGGAAAACTTGACATATAAATATAAAGAACTTGATCTAAATTTTCTCCAAATTTTTTTAAAAAATATACTACTTCTAATTTTTAATATAATAACTAGTTGAAGATTTAATTTGGTTCTATATATAAAATCTCAATTTATTTTATTTTTAATATTTACCTATTCTGTCCTAACTAATTCCTATGATAATAAATAATATTTAACTAAATTAGTCAAAATTAATTGTTACCCATATGAAGTGAGATTTACAAAACTATAAAAATTACGTTAACAAGAATTTTGAGGGAAAAAAAAAAGAAGTTGAAAGAGATTGATAAGTCAGGTCAATAAAATATGAGATATTATGATTTATTGAAAGAAAAGTATATTTATTAATTTCACACTTTCATGGAGAATTTCAGTAACTACCAGATCCTTAATATAAAAACTAAATAATTAATTTGTAAATATTAAATAAGTTAGTTACTAAGTTAATTATTTATAATGAATAGATACTGTTTTTTCTAAAATACGTCATTAATTATGTACTTTTAAATTAACTCTTGATAGTAATTTCTTAACATGTATAATTATTATAATGATTATTTGAGGGTAAAATAAATAAATATTAGAGATAAGATAGATTGAGATATTATATTTGAATCAAATTAAATCTTTAACTAGTTCTTATATTAATAATAATTAGAAGTAGTATATTTTTAAAAACCTTTTATTAAATAGGGTTCACTACTTAATTTACATGGCTTTTTTAACAGAGAATTTTAATTCAGCACTTACGTTTTAGAGCCACAACACATCACTTCCTCCGTGTTTCAAAAAATATTCCAAACGTATTGCCGTTTATCAGCAGCAGAAGGGCAGAGGAGGGCAATGTTAGCGTAGAGAAGCCGGGCCCAATTTTTTTGGGCCAACTGTAAAGGCAAGTCTAACGGAGAATATGGGGTATCACTGTTAAGGATTTTACAATAATATTAATTACTGTTAAGAACATTTAAATTTTAAAATTTCACAAAAACAATAATTTTTGAATGGAATTAAAATTTTATTAAGTTAATTTTTTTAGTCATATTTGATATTTTCAGCATTTATCTCCTACAAATCTTCAATATTCTTTTGTATCATAACAATCATCTTCCAGTTTTCAATAGTTTGAAAACATCTAAGATGCTGCTAAAACAACGAAAAAGTAAATATTGAAAATGTAAGAAATGACTGCGACGGTGTTAAGAGAATACTAAGAAGGCATGTTATAATAAATGCATATTATTCTTGAATTTTTTGGTGAGAGTAAGGGTATAAAATACATTTATAATAAAAAAATATCTTCATAAATTATATGATATATTTCTCAGATTTTATGAAAAACACACACAAACCCATTAATTAATAAAAAGAAGACAGGGAAAAAAAAGCATTGCTTATAAGTAACGTCGTCAACGTGTCAAGTTTGAGCACTCAGCACTTGCCTACGTGGTTACATATTATTTGCCCTAAACCCTTTTTTTTCCCTGCGCCTTTCCTTCTGTAAAACACCTTGTTGAGCTCATTTTTCAAACAAATGATACAAAAACTTCACAGTTAAAAGTGAGAAACCATTCAATGTAGAAGTTTGGCTGCCTCTTGAAATGCTTTGTTTGTGAAACTCAATTAAAGGAAGCCACCACATCTCTCAAGGTATTTCTTCCTTACTTTTTCTCTTTTCATCTTTTATTTTAAAAAATTTTAATAATTTTTCATGCTAATTTAGATTATGCGATTCTGGTTGCTGGCTCTTTTGCCATTGGTTCACCACATTTATTAATCTTTTAGCACTAAACGGGTGGTAGAGATTCCAGTCTCTTAAGAATGAATTTGAATATGTCATTATATTGGGTAATGCTTTAGATACTCCAATTTCTTAATTCAAATGCCTTCAACGAAGTTAAGATTCAAAAGTTCAGGATTTTTCAAAAATCTCTTATTGAAAATGACTAATCCCTAAATAGGGGACTTGGTGGGAATTTTATTCTTATTGATGTCATTTTCATTTAGGTATTGTTTGGTATGAGGGAAATGGAGGGGAGGGAAAAGAAAATTTTTTTTTAATGAACTCTATTTAAAAAATTGTAAAATTTGTGTTTTGAAATTTTAATTAAAAAAAAAAGAAGTAATATAAAAGAGTAATAAAAATAAATTAAAAACTTTTAATCCTATTTTTTTAATTTTTTAAATCGATCTTATTAAAATTTTTCCTCTGCTCCCCTCATCTCATTTTCCTTCATACCAACTAGACCCTTAAAAACAATTTTTTGCGTAGTTTGTAGATGACATTAGCATGTGAGGAGGGATTTGAATGATTTGGTGATCTAAATAACTACATGAAAGTAGAAATAAGTTAGGATATCAAATTAAAATTTCACTAATCAGTTTCATCGTACCAGAAAGCTTTTTTTAAGGATATTCAACAGAAAAGAGTACCACTTAAATGTTTCAAGGTATTTCATTCTTTATGTTGTTTTGAGGTTGACAAGGATCAAAGTTAAGTATAATATCCACTTATGATAATACTTATTGATTGTTTTGATGATCATTGTTTCAAAATCGAAGACTTCTCATAAAGTTACAAATTAGAAATTTCAGGTTCTGTGAAAATTTTGATTTTTGTTAAGGGATGTGACACGTGAAGATGATTATTTTACGATAAATTTCTAAAGTAGGGCCCACTTTTGTAGAGAACGCATGCATAAAAACGTGACTCATCACTTTATTTTTATCTTGGTACAGCTTTATTTCCTTATTAATAATGCGACAAATTTATCCAGCTTACAAATGACATGACTCCAAAAAAAAAATATTGAGTAAAACTAAAGCCAAGATATTAATTTTAAATCTTTTGTTTATTTATATAGAGATGGAGATTAGCATAAAGAGATATGATAACCTGGGGAATGGCGGAAGTGTGTGATGTATGAGGAAACGGTCATTAAAACTAAAGGTGCTCACGGGACGGGACAGGACGGGACTGGGACGGGCCTGTCCCGGTGAACAGTGTAACGTACCGCTCATGTTTTGCCCAAAATACACAAAGGCTCGCTGCCCAGAACTGTCCAAAGGTGTCCACAAAAGTCTTGGGTAAGTCTGGAACTCTCTAGAAATGTGTGGAGCTTGTTGGGGAAGCTTGGAAGGTTCCAGAATACTATAGATAGTTGTAGAGACACCTAACCCCTTTGTAAATATCTAGATATTTTTGTAGAGTATTCTAGATCCAACATTGTAACCGTTGGATCAAGTAGATCTTAGCCGTCCATTGAGGAGGTGGAGAACTATAAATACCCCCTCCCCCTCATTCATTTGACACACTCAAGAAAGTGAGAGTGTTGTAAGTACTTTGAGAGATCAATACAAAGTTCTTTCTTTGAGTCTCTTGTTCCTTCGTGTTCCTTCGTGAGTAGGCTGACTAGCAACTTAAGACAAGAAGTTTGCTAGGCCGCACGGTTCGTTGGAATTACGACCAAGTCTGTGACAGTTGGTATCAGAGCCAAGGTCTGAAGATCGTTGGAACATAGAGGAAGATGGAAGGCGGAAGCGAGACTATCAATATGTCCGAGGGAGTCAAGAAGAAATCTAAATCCCAGAGATCTAGTTCAAGGGAAACCATGGAGGGTTTTGAGACACGGCTAGCCAAGGTGGAGCTTGCAATAGCCGACGGGGAGGAGAAGTTCGAGGAGATGGGGCAAAGCATGGACGAGTTCCGTGAGGAGATGCAAGCCGCCATGAACAAAGTTCTCGCCCAATGTCTCGACAGCATGAAGGCCATGGAAGAGTCTCACAGGGATGAGGTTTCTTCGATCCGTGAAGAACTCGAGAGGGTCTCGCGCAAGTTGGAGAGTGCCGAAGAGGAGCTCATCTTGTGCAAGAAGGCTCTTGCACAAGGAAGTCCGTCAACGTCTGATGTAAGGACTACATCCTCTAAAGTAGATGTTCCACGACCTAAGGCTTTCAAAGGGACAAGAAATGCGAAGGAACTAGATAATTTTCTATGGAGTATGGAGCAATACTTCCGAGCGAACGTCGTTACCGACGATGCACTTAAGGTTAGCATGGCATGTCTCTACCTCGAGGACACTGCTATGGTATGGTGGAGGAGGAGACAAGGGGACATAGAGAAAGGCACTTGCACCATAGACACTTGGGCTGAATTCAAGGGTGAGCTCAAGAAGCAATTTTATTCTAGCAATGTTGAAGAAGAGGCTAGGGGTAGGCTAAGGCGTCTTCAACACAAGGGAAGCATTCGCGAGTATGTGAAGGAATTCACTGAGGTACTGCTTGAGATCCCTGACTATCCTAATAAAGAAGCTTTCTTTGCCTTTATGGATGGATTGCAACAGTGGGCTAAACTTGAGATCCAGAGACGTGGTGCTCGAGACTTGACCACCGCTATCTCCATTGCTGAGTCCCTTATTGAGTTCAAGAAACCTGAGAAGCCAAAGCCGAAAGACAAGGGCGGCAAGGGAAAGAGTGGGGGAGAGCATCACCGAGGCAAGGAGACCACGGACAAGTCGAAGGGTCCCAAGGAGTACAAAGCTGGGGAAAGGCCATCACTTAAATGCTTCTTTTGTGAAGGACCACATAAAGCAAGGGATTGCCTAAAGAAGGCTAAACTTTCAGCATTGATCGAGGAAAGGGAGGAACGGGAACGAGAAGAGGAGAAAGTAGGATCCCTACAACTCC